CATTACTCCCTTAGCTTTTAATAACTTGACTAGGGCCGCTAATTTGTCTAGACAACTGGGAGCTATGCTTACAGGGGTCTGGTCAGCAGAGTTTGATAACCTGACTATGCTATTGAGACAAGAAATTGTTAAAGTGAATAATATGCGTGTCCACACCACTCCCATGAAAGATGTAATCTCATGGTTATCTAAATTTTTTAGTTTTTCAAAACAATGGGCAGGCATGGGTGCACTGGCCGTGGTCCTGGTACTTGCCATTATATTGTGCCTGTGGTGTCTGGTTCGTATGCACAGGCGGCAGCGGGTGCGGAATCTTATGCTCATACAAGCCTTTGCTGCTTTGGAAGCAGGACAATCCCCTCAAGCATGGCTCACCATGCTCAACTGATCGACACAGCACAGGGTGCCAGGCAAGGCACTGCACTTGGGAGCTCTAGGTTTGAGTACCAAGAAAAGCATGTCCTATTGCATGTGGGTTTGATATCGACGCCCCACCTCCATGAAAAAGGCATTGGTCAGAATGGTGACTCGCCTGGGGAGGCGCCCCTCAGGAGTGTGCCATTATTTACGGCCACTTTTGCACAATGGAGATAGGACCTCTACTTTTACCTGTTGCTTGTAATTAGAAAAGGGGGAACTGTTGGGAGATGGCGACCGCACCCTGAAAATGGCGCTGGTTTCCTGCTTCTGCTTCTTTAGCGGTTAGAGTTGTTAGAGGTAAACAACTCCTTGTAAGGCTGTGGGGCTGGGCTCTGGCCTGCTTCCGCTGTGCTGTACCTATTAGACTTTTCCACGTGGTGCTAGTTCATTGGCAGGGCTGCGTACTTAAGCCAGGGCAGACCGACCGCTCGCACTTTTTCCTGTTTTCTCATCATGCTTCAAGGGTCCTGAATAAACTGCTGAAAGAAGAATCCTGTGTCGTGTTTCCCTTGCTGGCGAGGGGTCGCGACACAGTAGCTGATGACTTTACTCACTCTCCTTCTAGCTCCACTGATTTCCTTACATACACTCCATTCCTGCCCCATCTTGCCTTACTAGCTTAACTTAAAACCCTATTCTCAAACTGTATTTTCTCATTCCATATCTAGATTACTAATAACCACAGAAGAAAACCACAGCTCTGTAAACTGGCAAACTACTTCTCCAAGCATAGTTGGCCCCTGATGTTTCCTGTAAATCCTCCCTTACTTGATCCATTTCTCCTAGACTGGTCCAATCTTTCAGCACTCCTAAGCCCTCCCCTACTCAGCCCTCTCTTTGTCCACTGATGGACACGATCTTTCTTCTTACCCTAAAGAAGGTGTATTCCGCCCCCACCCCCCGCTTAAGCCTGAACCACCTGTCTATGTCTTTGATTTTTCTTCCTTCCCACTACCTGCAAGGTTTTCTCCTCTTCCCTATATTCTTTTAACTTTTTGGAAAGCTCAAGTTGTCTACTGACAAACATGCTTGAGTATTCCCACTCCAAAAGAACTTCTTTTGAATTATAGGCCCTCTCACCACCATCTTTCTTTCTTCTTCTTTTTTAAAATATATCTAGTTGTCAATAAACTTTTACTTAGTTTATTATTTTATATATGGTGCTGAGAATCAAACCCAGTAACTCACACATGCCAGGCAAGTGCTCTACCATTGAGCAATATTCCCCAGCCCCCCACAATCTTTCTTTATTCCTAAACTCCCCTTGATATGACCCCAACCTCTCCCACCACTGAAGTCACTCTTGCTAAGATAACTACTTACTGGCTCAACAGATACTTCTCAGTCCTCTGTGACCACATATTCAGCTGTGCTCTCCTTAGAACACGGCTTGTATCCCTGGCCACCACACTATCAACTTCTTTTTCCCCTTACTCTCAATGTTCCTTTGCCTCCTTGGCAGGCTCCTCTTTCTGTTCCTACCTCCTGTACTTTATTGGTTCCCAGGATGCCATCATTGCTCAACTGTTCTTTTTATTCCACACATTTTTGTGGGAAGTCATTCACCTTATCCTTTTTACTATCTACATGCCGATGACTCCCAAACACTTCCCTTCAGCTCAGTACTTCTGACATTCAGACCTGGGCAGCTGCTGCCTGCTGGATATCCTCGCTGACCCTCGAACTGGCTCCCTTTGTTCCTATTTTTCCATGGTTGGTTCTCTTTTGGTGAATGGCACTGCCTTTCCTCCAGCCACCACAGACAGACATCTAAACCTGGAAGACATTCTCCACTCCCTCCTTTCTCACAATCCTTAGCTCTGACAACATTTATCTCAGAGATAACTTTCTTCTGTTTCTAAACCTCTTTCACTAATTCAGGCTGTTTTCATTCTGGTTGGCCCACTCTTGCAAATCTGGTAACTGGTCTTCTAGTATGTCCCTCCTCAAGTCCATACACAATATAGAAGGCAGAATCCTGCTGGAAACACAAACTTTGTCTATGCCTTGTCTCTAATTAAAAGCCTCTGGTGGCTTCACATTGCCTGCAAGATAATGTTAAAACTCATTGGCATGGCATGTAAGGTCTCCAGTGATACATGCTCTGACCCTTCCAGGCTTTGCTCTGTGAAGCCCTGTTATCACATTTATGTTTCAGCAATATAAAACTGCACACACTTCTGGGGCCACTCATATTATCTCCTATCCCTTTGTCCTTGCATATCTCCTCTTCCTGGAACCCTCTTACCCCTGTCATGACTATTCACACAGTTTTAGACAAGGTACCACTTGCTCAAGGAAGCTTCCCTTAAATGCCAAGCTGGATTAGGTGTCTCTTCTTGCAGTTTCCATACTATTCAAAGCATATCTGCCACTGCATTCGATATTGTTTTATAATTACCTTTTTAAGTGTTTGTCTTCCTTACAAGACAAAAAGTGATTTCTTTTTTATATACTCCCACCAAACACATGGAATGAGTCTTTCCTGTTTCTTTTGTCTCCTAGACTTTGGCTTTTAGTTTCTACTATTCTCAAGTTAACCTCAGATTCTAATTGCTTTCCAGGTGCCTGATATCAAGCATAATAGTGGGTTCAGCCCCAGTCCCACCACCATACAGGGGGCAACAGAGATAGGTTCCCTCTGGCTTCCCAGAGTTGAGGAGGAAGGAAAAGAGGAGGGAGGGAGGGAGACAGAAGGCCCCAAACTTTAGTCATCTTACCCCTGGAGCATAGCCTGCGCACAGCTGAGGCAGTGCTCTGTGGGAGGCCACAGGAGGGAAGCAAGGGCCGGTACCCAGAAGTTCGAAGATTCTGGGAGGTACTGACAAGGTTGGTAGGATTCAACGTAGAGTCCATTGAATCTGTGCGTGGTGCCAAGGACCGGGCCAGACTATTCCCCAAGACAAAGGTTTCACCTGGAAAACAATACAACCAGGGGTAGAGCAGGGGTGAGCTTTCAGAGTGTTGGTTCTCAATACCAGCTGAGAGGGACAAGAGGCAACAAGACATAAATCCTTGGCTGGGACTCAGGAGACCTGTGTGTCAGTCATGGCCCCAACTCTCACCAGGTGTCCTTAACCAAACTCAGTGTCACATTCTGGACTTTGGCTTGCTTAAAGACTCCTCTTCTTAGACTGGATAGTCTTTAAGATTTTTTTCTGCCTGGATGTCCTAAGATTTTACAGATAAAGAGAAAAACTTTATTTAAAAAATGGAATCTCTCTAGCATGGAAGAAACTGCCTTAGTCACAAGGTGCTCTAGAGCAGGGATAGGGGTGCCACTAGCTATCACCAGAAGGGATACATTTGCTCAGAAGAGGGTCCTTTAGAAGCTGACCTCTGCTGAACCACCAGGACATCTCAGAAATGATGCTTGATGCCCAGTTAAAGGCCTGTCTGTAAAGGATCATCTGCTCCTACTTTGTTCCCTCCGTTTTTATTTACCCTGTTCAATAGAAACTTTCCAGGGAAGCTTGGGTTGTACACTGGGGAAAGCTTGGGCTTAGAGATGAGGATCAGGGTTAGAATCTGACTCTGCCACTTAGCAGAGTGCTTCCCTGAAAACCTGTCTCCTCACCTATACCATGGGAAAGCCATCTACATAAGGGGTAGCCTTACAAGGGGCTGGAGAATGTCAGAAATGAATGGCTATGAAAGCCATTGAAAGGGAATCTCACCCTGATGTTTCTACACCTGGCCCATATACCAGCACCAGGCAGCAGCATGCAATCACAGCACTCAGGAACCTAAAGCTGACACCCTCTTGTAACTAGCTTCTACCTAGGCCAAGTTAGTTCTTCAGCTCTGTCCATTGCATCGTCTGTATGGGGAGGGGGTCCTGGGTACCAGACCATATCAGTGTTCTTCATGATTTTTAGAATCAAGTGTGTGGATAATGCTTGGGATTCATTCAGGGACTCTGATAAACACTAATTTTTTTTTTCTGACACACAGTAAGACCTCACTGGCAAGATGATGTAAAATTTTAGGACAACTTCCTAATACCTAAAACTGGTCAGCGATCATGTGCTCAAAGTCAAATCTGGTATCAGATAGCTTATTCCTCTTCACAGGGAGGTTAATTGTGGATGCCCTTTCCTAGAAGGAGTTCTGAAAGAAGTCTGTGAGGCTCCAGGATCCCTACACCATGCCTACTTTTTTTCTGCAGATGAGGCTTCTGATTTTCCAGAAATCTGTAGCAGTTCCACTTTGAGACATGAACCAACCAAGAAGCGGGAGACCTGGATTCTACACCTGGCTTCTGCCTTTCACTAGGTATGTTATCCTAGGCAAGTTGCTTTTGTTCTCTGAGCACCAGTTTCCTCATGTGTAAAATTGGGGAAAACCATTCTGTACTACAGAGAACATTAAAATGAGAACATGGAATAGGTTGTGAGAAACTGTTACTTTGTTATTATTCATAGTTGGTGCAGCAAATCAAACTTTGAAAAAAAATTGTTTTGATCTAATTTCTACAGTTCTCAGTAGAGTCACCTCACCCTTCCAGCCATTCAATAGAGTCACCTCACCCTTCCAGCCATTCAATAGAGTCACATCACCCTTCCAGCCATTCCACCCTTCAAGGCCTGCTGCTGTCTGCCTCAGAGACCAACAGCTGTGACACATAATCATGACAACAGTGCCAGTGCTCACCAGATGCTGATGCAGACCAGTGGGAATCTCTTTCTTTCAGCAGCACCAAGGATGCTGAGATCTGGATTGTGATTTGAGGGGTCTGAACATCTGGATGGTGGCATCTGGACTAGGCAAGATCATTAAATCTTGTCCTAATGAGATATACTAGAAAAATTAAGCATCATGCCAAAGCTCTGAGAGGCCCTAGACATTTTAAGGGCTGATCTTATGGGTCCTGCTGCTTTTGGGTAGGACAAGGTCAGGGTAGAAGACCACAGTGATACTTTCCAATTGTGCTCACAGAATCTGTGGATCCTCCACAGGGAGGCTCTGGGCCTCATTCCAGTTTCTATTAATTTTTATACACTGGAGGCTAATGTAATCTTTCCTTTGCAAAAAAAAAATTACTACTAAAACAAGTTTCACTGGTTCAGGTATCTGAGGTTAGGGCTGGAAGATGAGTTCTACTTCTATTTTTTTTTTTTTTAAAGAGAGAGTGAGAGAGGAGAGAGAGTGAGAGAGAGAGAATTTTTAATATTTATTTTTTAGTTCTCGGCGGACACAACATCTTTGTTGGTATGTGGTGCTGAGGATCGAACCCGGGCACACGCATGCCAGGCGAGCGCGCTACCGCTTGAGCCACATCCCCAGCCCGAGTTCTACTTCTAGAATGATCATTTGTCAATCATCAGTGCCTTTTTCTGAGATTCAGTTTGCCCATCCATAAGATGGAGATGAAAAATCTTTAGTCTTCTACAATCAATGTAAATTAAATTTATTGTTGCTATGCTGGAGACACGACAGCAATCATCATTCAACAAGTAGTGGAATGATGCTGCCACTCTATTGGGTACAGGGAAATAGGCGGGGAGGCCCTTACCCATGTACTCACTTTCAGGGAGAAGCAGCTTTTCTCAAAGTGACTTGAGAATTAAATGGTGGAGAGGAGCCTAGAGATCATGGCCATGGTGAAAGGGCATGGAGAGGCAAGTGTTCTGGAGAAAAGTCATGGGAGACAAATACCCCAATGGCAGCTTGGGCAGGGAACAGGGCTACAGATAGCTTTTGTTCTTTTGGAATGCAGAAAGTAGAACAAGGGGCAGGAGTTAAAAGAAGGCAGATTTCAGCTCACAAAAGGAAGGCATTTTAGCTGGGTGTCGTGGCACACACCTGTAATCCCAGTGCCTTGGGAGGCTGAGGCAGTTCAAAGCCAGCCTCAGTAACTTAATGAGGCCCTAAGCAACTCAGTGATATCCTTTCTCAAAATAAAAAATAAAAAGGGCTGGGGATATGGCTCAGTTGTTAAGTGCCCCTGGGGTTAGTTTTTGGTACAAAAAAATAAATAAATTAGGCATTTTAAGATTTTACTCTGAAAATAAAATCAACTGCCAAAAAAAAAAAAAAAAAAAAAAAAGGAGCAACCTGTCATTGGGAGTATTTAAGCAGAGGTCAGAAAAGCACTCAGTGACCTCTACGGCATTTTCTACTTCTGAGGTTCAAGGATTCCATGTTCACACCTACCTCTCCCCTATAGAATGAACTGAGTGAGTATGGAACTAGAGCTATGGATCTAAGAAAATTCTCAGACCAGCACAGGACTTGGAGATACAAGCACAATCCTCGTGCAAGCTGAAGGTGTTAAAAAGCATCCCTTTCTGAACCATGTGACCCACATCTTCTCCTGCCTATTCACCCATAAATCCTGTTAAATACCATATGACAATTAAGGTGATGGACACTGAGAATGGTAAACACAAGACTGTTATTCAACTCATGAAACTTTTAGTCTAGTGAGAAGGATGAAAAAAATGCAGGTAAATTAAAAAATTAACTCTTATAAATATCACAAAGGAAAGGAATGGGGCACCCAGGCAGACAATAACAGGGGGGTCCTTTTAGATGAGGAGACCAAGTTTCTCCCTGACGAACTTGATGTTTAAGCTGGCCTGCAGAAGAGTATAGCCATCTGGGAACTGCACATGTGCCAGACAATGTGCTTCTATTAACCACAAATGTGTGATTCCTGAAAACTCTTGACAATTCCATGAGGAAACCTACGTGGTGATGAGAGGCACCCTGAGACTTCATAGTTCTTACTTGGCTTTAATCTCGGTGAGTCTTGGAATTTGGGCAGAAGAACCACTTTATCACTAACTCTGGAGATCAGGATGGAAACTAGAAAGAAAGGCACAAGAAACTCATTGTCCTGGAATAAGTAAACCACCCCCTCTATCAGAGGGGAACATGGGAAATCTCAAAATAGCAGACCCACAGGTTAATTCTAGATGGACTTCAGTTATAGCTAAAAAATAGTTACTGCTAAAACCAACAGTTGGTGGGGCCCATCACTATCAATTTTTAGGGGACCTGAAGGAGCCCCTCTAACTTAGTCTCCATAAGACTTGTCCTTGATTCAGTAAATGTGGTCCTAAAGAAGGGACTCTGCTCTAACACTGACTTCCCCAGAAATCTTCTCCCCTCTACTTTCAACCCAGTAATTGTTCATCACAACTGTCTATGTCAGAATACCTCGGGTACATGCTCTTAATCACGTCCACATCCCACATCTCTCCCTTTCTCAGCTGTTTGAGCCCAGGGGTTGAGTCTGTTTCATCTCTGTATCCCTAGAGTCCAGTATAAAATCTAAGACAGAATGAGTATTTAATAAAAGTTTGATGACTTAAACAGCTGGCCTGGTCCCTCAAAATGTCCATGTCATGTCATGGAATATAAAGACAAAAGAACTACTGTAGTTAAAGGAAGCTAAGGAGACAGCACAATAAAATGCAGTGGATGATCCTTCATTGGATCTTGGATTGAAAATAAATAGCTATAAAGGATATCACTGGGACCACTGGGAAAAATTATGATATAGATTGAATATTAGCCAGTATTTTCTTATTTCTTGCATTTAAAAAAATATTTATTTTTTAGTTGTACACAGTACCTTTATTTTGTTTATTTATTTTTATGTGGTGCTGAGGATCAAACCCAGGGCCTCACATGTGCTAGGTAAGCGCTCTACCGCTGAGCCACAACCCCAGCCCCAAATTTCTTGCATTTTTTTTTTATGTTAAATTATTATTTTAAAGAGAGATAGACAAAGGTATTTAAAGGTAAACTTTCTCATCTGTAGTTAACTCTCAAATGATTCAGTAAATAAACACACAAACATACATATACATACGTGTGTATATATATGTATATATATATATACACACAAACATATATAATATATATATATACACAAAAGTGTATATATATTATATAAGACAAAAGTTTGTATATACTTATACAGGAAGAGAAAAAATAAATATTGCAAACTTAAGTGAAAGTACAATGAGAAACCATGAAGGGTGCATGGTTTCTCATTGTACTATTTTTACAAGTTTTCTATAGGTTTGAAAGTTTTCAAAATAAAATAATGAGAAAGTAATTGTCTCAATTTAGGAATTTAGACAAGGAAACTGAATCCAAGATGAAGTCTTCCTGAGCTTTTGGTGGCTGTCTGCCATGTTAGAAGTGTACAACCAGTTAGGCCAAGATCATAGTGGTAGGGTACTGTGGAGACAAGCTGGAAGGGAGAGAGCTCTAGTATGCACCCAGAAAACATAGGTGGTACCTACAGATGTCAAACTAGTAGAAATATGTAGTCAGGTACATGGGAAGGAGTGATAAATATCAAATCCAAAGGGCAAAGCAAAAGACAACTCTTGTACAATTAAGCTCAGTTATCAGAACAACACAAGAACCGATAAAGGACCAGGAACAGAGAAAAGAGTCACTAAAGCAGGCAAGCAGGCAAGATAATTTATGAGGCACAGAGGAGTTGGGAATCCAGGCAAGGCTCTGACTTTTCTGAGCACAGTTAAAAGGCTCATTCAGGGAAGCAAATAGAAACCATGGTGGGAGCAGAAAATTTGATGAGCACCCACTATAAGGAAATTGAGCTTAGAGAGTAAACAAGGGCACAGAGTTGGCTCTTTATCTGTCTGAAAGTGGGAGAAGGGAAAGGAGACAGAAAATGAGAAAAATGACACCCTATTCATTGTCTCTTTCTTAGCTGGTAGAGCAGGAAGAATCTGGCTGAAGCTTGCTCCTCTTATCTGGTAGATGAATCAGAGAGAAGTAAACTGGAACAGAATTCCCAGGAAAGGTCATATTCCAGTCCCAAACCACATTCATGACTTCAGGCCCAGTCTCTGAATGCTGTTGCCAGTATACTTTTTCGAGTTCTTAATGACAGTATTCCACTTAAAAATTCTGAGATCCTATTTATTTCAGAAGCATTTTTCTCTTTAAATGAACAGCTACCCTTGTGGACAAGCTACCCACTCTTATGTATCCCTGCTTTTAGAATCAGGTAGGCCCAGCTTTCATGACAGAAATGCAGCTCAGAATTTCTCAATAGCTGCAGATATTTAAAAACTTGCCTTTGTTTGTACCAACTCCACCATGTCTTGTGCAACATTCTAACTGCAGGTAAGAATACCTTTTCTGTTCTCAAAAAATCTAATGCTGAAAGGAAGCAATCTAGAGCAGGTTGGGTGAGGAGTTCATCCTGAAGAAAAGAACCAGACAGGAGGCACAGTCACGGCTGCAGGGACCAGATGGTCTGACGCCCACAGGAATATTTACAATTCAGCTATCTTTTGTCCCACCTGCAAGTCATACAAGTAAGGCTCATTTGGGTGCAGAAGTATAGATGGGGCAGGGGAGAAAAGGACTGGGCAAATAAATGGTCACTTCCCTGAGACATTCTCCAGAAGTAGCATTTAAGTCAGAAGTGGTCCATTAAAACTATACTGAAAGAAAGAAGAGAGAAGACGCCACAGGAACAAGCATTGAGGGGCACCTTTCAGACCTGTGCTTTCTTTCCCAAGGGTAGACAGCACAACCCCATACTGACCACACCTCTTCTCAGCTCTTCGGCTTGGGACATGGTCCACAGATGTCTTTTAAAAGGCCTTTCTCCCTTTCAACAGTGACCTACCTTGCTATGTTAGGCTGAGCTTTCCTTCACCCACTCTGTTCTTGTGTCCTGAAATCCAGATTAGAGATGTGAGTTCCATTCACTCTTCAACCTCTCTTGGAAGTGCTTAGTCACTGACCTAGCCACGTGGCATCCGCTTTCCCATTGTGAGTCTGGTATGTTAAACTAAAAAAGTTATTTTCCGGCCTAGTTGGAAATAGCAGGAACTTGAATTGACTTGCTAGACTGGCAGTGCTAAAAGAGTTAGGGCCATGTGCCAAAGGAAAGAATGGATGGCCAATCACCAGGGAGCAAGTTTTTCAATCTCCAGCCTGAGACTAAACCTTCCTGCTGGTGAGAGAGAGCTGTGTTAGACCTTTGCTGCCAGCTTCACCCTGGGAAGTACACTATGATTTCACAGTGGTTCCACATGCTGTTTGGAGCTCAGATGGGGAGATTTATAAGCCAGCTTTTCCTAGGGATAAGGGTCCAAAGGAAAGAAGAGTAATCAAGAACAGAAGACAAAATCCTAAAGCATAAAGATATTGAGAAATCAGAACCTCCCAGATGTGTTGCAGATGTGGACAGAAAGATGTCAGGCTAGCAGGTCTGAGAACTGGCCCTAGAAGGTGCTGCTGCCAGTCCTACCCCCCTCTCAGCCCAGGTCCCATCCCAACTCCTACCTGGTAGGTACCTGTCGTGGCTGTGGCTGTACTCTGTGGCAGTGAGTGATAAGTGAGTCTGTGTAAAGGGCTGGTTGCCAAACAGATTGTCACTATGAAGGTTGTGGCAGAGCTTCTCCAGGAAGCGGAGGACATAGGTGATGCTGTTGACTGCTGGGAGGTTGAGGGTGTGCTGTTCTCGGTCAAACACGGCTGTGGAGTTAAGTAAATAGAACCATGCACGTCAGCTGAGCAGCACAGTGCGGCATGGTGCAGGGCAGGGGTTGTCCAGCCAGTTGCTGTCTTGGGCTTACCTGGTTACACAAAGGCAATCAGTGCTCAGGCTGCTCTCTCCCTCCCTTTCCCTCCCTCCCTGGAGGGCTTTGATTTTTGCCTTCAACTCCAAAGGGCATGCAATAATGGGAGTGGCCAGGCCAAGTCTGTTGCACCCTTAGGGCTCTGGAATGATTTCACTCAACCTGTGAAAACAACTGTGAACATAATTCTATCTGCTCCATCACTTGATTGAGCCTCTTCCAGGAAATCTGTTCATTTAGGAAGCTGTTTTCACAAGAATTGCCCAAGAACAGAAAAGCTGGGCAGAAGAGGAGAATATAGCCATCACTAGCAATGGCTTGGGCACACAATTTCCAATCTATATAAAAACACCGAATTTTGGCAACATATGAAACTGTTTCACGATTGATTTTATTATACTTCCTATTTCTACTAAAAATATCAGCATAAAATTTGAAAAGCAAAAGGTCTGAGTATATGGCTCTGAAGGCAGTGAAGAAATGGAGACTTGGGTATAAACAGGTCACTCTCAGGAACCAGCAGGGTTAGAGCAGCTAAAGAGGAGGTAAAGGTCAGTCCCTTCAGGTTACTGCACAGAAGCAAATGAGAGGCTTGAGAGTGGCCTAGCCTCAGAAGGACATGGGCTTAATTTCCCAACAGTTTCCAGCCTTCTAGAACATTTCCCTCCCTGTCTGTCCCCATCTTCCATGAAGCCAGTTACTCCCTAGCATGGGTTCCCACACTATTCTCTATTACAAAACTTGTCACAATTAGCTGTTTTGTTTCTTTCTTTCCCCCTGTGCAGACCTGAGTCTCTTCTATTATTCCCCTTTCCTAGCTAGTATCTGGCAATAACCTCTCGCATATGGTCAGGGCTCCATAAATGTTTGCTAAAAGAATAGTTTGGTGATTTATGGGGTTTTCCATGTCAGCTGGGTTTCCTGAAGCTGGTTATGGTAACTCATTAGGGAGGAAGAAGAGGGTATTATAGAATAGCATTATAGTTAAGACTGGAAGGCTTTAGGTCAAGGCTTCATAGGTTTGATGAGAAAGAATACTAAAAAGAACTCTGCTGTTATGTATAACTAAATACCCTAATAAAGACATTTAACGCCCCGCCCCCCCAAAAAAAAACCAAGAGAATTTTGGACTTAGGAAAATTGAAACAGAAGCAGGGCACATTGAGAAAAAGTAAATACTCTCAGTGAGAGCAAAAAACTACTGTTGAATCAAATTGTCAGTAGAAAAGAAAGTGAATGCCATTTCCCGCTCTGACTTGGGACACAGCTCCCTTGTATGTGCCTGGTTTAGGAACCGGAAACAAAGAAGTCAGAAAAATGAGAGAAGGTCAGTAATTCCCTAAAACCAGTATGGAGACTATGGCACTCTGGAGAAACTCCTGTTGCCACAACCAAGCCCCTCAAACTACTCCTTCTGAAATGCCTTTAAAGCCACATACTTATTTATTTTCTGTATGGGAGAGTAAGCCAGGAGACAGGAATGATACCAGAAACTCAGGCAGAGTTAGCTTGAGTATTCCTGGAGGAGGTATGCATAAGGCTCAGAGGAATGGGACACTTTCACATTTTTCCAGAGCCTATGGGTATCAAGTAGAAACCAGGATGCCTTGTCAGAAATCAGTTAAGTAGGCCTGCACTCTGGCTATGAGTTCACATTAGCCCAAGGGTGCTTACCTGAGATGACCTCACCACCGTGGCCCTGTTTGAGGAAGCTGAAGACAGTTTTCTGGTGATAAGCACAGTCGATGCATGCCTGGACAGCCTGCTGCAATACCACAGAGGCACGGGCTGGCCCAAAATGGTCAGGGAGCTGTTGGATCTTCTTCTTATCTAAGTGAGGGCCTGGGCTGCCATTCTTGTTCAAGTAGATACAAACTACAGGAGACAAAAAATCCAAGAACCTTATAGAGTGTCTGGCACAGAGAATTCAAAAGGACAGTGTTCTCTTCCACTTTTTTATTAATTATTTTTCTTAGTTGTAGATGGACAGAATGCCTTTATTTTATTTGTTTTATTTTTATGTGGTGCTGAGGATAGAACCCAGTGCTTCTCACATGCTAGGCAAGGGCTCTGCCACTGAGCTACAGTTCCAGCCCCTCTCTTGCATTTATTATGCCCTGAGCTTTGATCCCCACTAGGAGTCTCAGCAGGTTTCCAGTTTGAAACACTGCAAGGGATAAACGGTGAGGGTCAAGTTACCAGCAGACTAAATTGCATGACCAAGGGCTCTGGGAATACAGCCTTGCTGGAAGAATAGCCCAGAGCAAAAACCAAAGGACAGAATTTGTACTTTGTCTTCTGTGTTTTGAAAAACAAAACAAAACAAAACAAAAAAACCTCAACATTTCCCCAGATGTATGAACTTTCATTTTTTTATACTTGGTTGCTTCATAAATTCTTTACACCTCTCAACTTGTATCTATGTAAGGAGCTGTGGGACCATGGTAATAATAGCAAGAGAGTGCTCATGTATGTGTATATTTGGTATTGGACGTAGAATCATCACAACCACTGGTCACTTGCCTTGTTTTCTATTCTGGGCCTTATAATTTTTTACTATCTTCTACATCAATACTCAGACCCCAAAAGAGTAATACAAATAGAAAAGAATAAAATAAAATATAGAAAAATAATATGAAAAGGATCTATAAGACTCATGTATATATTCTTTCTCTCAGAAGTTCTCCTGTCAAGATTGCTGGGCACTCTCTTGGTTGCTGACCTCCATGTGGCACTGGTGTGGGGGGGTTCAGGGCAAAGGAGATGGAAGCCATTTTAAATGCTGTAGTGTCCTTGGCCTCTGGGAAGGACCTATATCAGCTTGGTCAGTAATTTCATTCTCTCTCCTGATGTCCTTTCAGGCTTCTACTGAGTAATAGGTACTGTTCTTACTTGCACTGAGTGGGTAGGAGGGCAAAAATCTCCTTTGTTATTAAAGGCAAATAGGGTCAGGGCACTAGTTATGTGGGCTGCTGGATAAACTGCCATCCTCTTTGGGTCTCAGGTTCATTATCTATAAAGATGAGGTGGTTGAACTAGATGCTCTCTGAGGAATCTCCACCTGTATAGCTCTAAAGAGAAACAATATGAAGAGGAAAAAAAAGAAAGGAAAATAGAAAGAAGGTAAGCTGGATGAGGAAGGTAATGAGAGAAAAAGGAAAAAATCATAAATGAGATAAATTGAACATATACATTTCACTCTATTCTCTCCTAATTCTAAGAGGAGACAACAATAACATTTTGTAAGTTGGAAAGCAGATTGGAAAAGTAGCAACTAGAGCCAGGGGTGGTGGTTTGCCTGGGATTCCAGTAACCTGGGAGGCTGAGGTGTAGGACCACATGTCCAAGGGGTTTGAGAGCCACCTGGGCACATAGCAAGATATCTCAAAACAAACACACAAAAAAAGAAGAGAAGTAGTACTGACTTGGTATATACAAGAAAGAAGAATTCCTTCAAGCACGAATGGGGAATGATGAGAACCAAGCTGTTTTATCCCCTAATTACAAAGGCCTAAGTTTTGGCAAAATGGTAACTCTGAAAGTGAATATAAAGTATATTTAATAAAAGAAGGCTCAGTTGAGGTATGTTAAGGAAAGTGAGGATTTCTATGTCTAATAATGTGATTCTTCTACTAAAACCACTTAAACACAAACACATATATAAGTATTAAAGTATTAAAAATAAGTGTATTAAAAGTAAGTGACAACAAATGGCTACGAAAAGACACTTATAAGAATGCTCAAATTAACTCCAAATTAGAACCAAATACCTATCAACATATATACAAATTGTGGTATAGTTATTTAATAGAATATCACCTGGAAATAAAAAAAAAAAGGAACCACTGACAGGAGCAACAATATAGGTGCTACTCAGAAATATTATTTGGAATGAAAGAAACAAAATACAAAAGTACACGTAGCATGTTTCATTCATCAGTTCAAGAACGGGAAAACCAATCTATAGTGGTAAAAATCAGAATCTACATGGAGCAGAGACTGACTGGGAGGAGGCCTGAGGGGACTTCTGTGGTGGCAGAAACATCTTACATCTTGATCAGGGTTGTAGTTAGTTACAGGAGTGCTGACATTATTAAAATTCATCCAAGTGTACACTTAAGATTATATATTCATGAATACAAACTTTATCTCAATTAAAACATACAAAGGAAAAAATATAACTAGCTTGGTTTTATAGATTAGATATGCAGTATCCTCAAAAAGCTCATGTGTGAGACAATACAAGTATATTTAGAGGCAAAATTATTAGGTTATGAGAGCCTTAACATAATCAGTCAATCAGTCCACTGATATGGATTAACTAGGCGATTAGGTGGTAATTATAGGGAGGCAGGCTGTGGCTGGGGGAGGTGGGCCACTGTGGGTGTGCTTTTGGTACTTATATTTTGTCCCTGGTAAGCAGAGCTCTCTCTGCTTCTTGTTGTCATGTCCTGTGCAGATTTCTTCTGCCATGCCTTTCCACCAGGATATTCTGCCTCATCCTGGCCATCTATGGACAAAGACCTCTGAAACTGTGAGCCAAAATAAACTTCCTCATCTAATTGTTCCTGTCACATCTTTTGGTCACAGCAACAGAAAAGCTGACTAAAACAGAAATGGTACTGTGAAGTGAGGTCACTGCTGTGATTAACCTGTCCATGTGTTTCAGAAGCATCTGAAGCTGCAAATTGTTGCAGTTGGGGGAATTTTGAAAAGTTTATGCAAGCTGAAAAGCTTCAGAACATTGTAAGTGGAGCTTAATGGGCTATTTTTATGGGTGTCCAGAGCCAGAATGTTGCCAGGGCTGTGGACAGTAAAGATTGGGCTCATGAGGTTTCAGAGGAGGAGAACTCTATTGGAAATTGAACTAGAGACCATTTATGTAATATTCTGGCAAAGAAGTTGTATACATTTTGCCCATGTCCTGAAACTTTTTGTGAAGCCAAATTAAAGGTCATGTACTAGTCCATCAGTGGAGGAAATTCCAAGGTATCTGAGCATTCAGATATTGCCAGTGCCTTTTAGCCAAGTTTACTGTGATAATCAGGAGTAGAAAGCAAAGTTGAAAGATTTGAAATACTTGCACTTTGGCCAGAAAAATACAAGTAAAACTAGGGCTAAGCAAATTGTGGTTGTTAAAGCAATCAAACCAAAAAAGCACTAAATAAATACTTTACCCAGAGACAATAAGAAAGATGGCTTGCAGGCTTCTCGGGAATTGGCAAGACCATACCCATCTCAGGCTCAGGGGGTTAAAGTAAAAATTCCTTTGAGAAGAGACCATGGGGGCACTCTGCTTACACTGTGTGTCCTAGGAAGTTGTTTTACTGTGCTTAGCTGCCCAGGCATTCAGAGGCTGCTGCAGTCATGGTTTCCAAAGGGCTGGCTACTGCTTAAAATAGTGGAAGACTTTGGCATTGATCATGTGGTGCTGGTTCTGCAGGAATGCAGGATACTAGGTTAGGAGATCATGGTGGCTTCCATAGAGATTTCAAAGGAAGGCCTGGGAGACCAGACAAAGTGTAGCAGGGGGGCTGGGATTGTGGCTCAGCAGTAGAGTGCTCGCCTAGCACGGGCAGGACCCGGGTTTGATTCTCAGTGCCACATACAATAAAATAAAATAAAATAAAATAAAATAAAATAAAATAAAATAAAATAAAGGCACTGTGTTGTGTCCATCTACAAAAAAGATTCTCTCTCTCTCTCTCTCTCTCTCTCTCACTCAAAAAATAAAAAAGTGTAGCAGGGTCAGAGTCCCTGTGGTGGGTGGGCTGTAACCAGCAAGGCTATAGGGGCAGAGCTTCAAAGACTCTTTGGAGAGAACATCAGGATGCCATATCTTCCAGATGCTGGAAATGGAGCTACAGGACTTGTTTGCCCAGTTGGATTTTGGTCTTGCTTTGGTCCCACCCCTTAGTTTTCCCTTGTGGAAAGGAAATGTTTATTCTATGTCATGTTATATTAGATAAATGCAACTTGCTTTTGATCTTCACAAGGGAAAACATCCTTGAGTTTTGAGTCTCAGATGAGGTTTTGGACTTAGACTTTTGGATAATGCTGGAACTGTTAAGATTATTGGGGCTCTTGGAAATGGACCAAGTGTATTTTTCATCATGAGATGGATATGAGCTTTTTGGGGCCAGAGACAGAATGTTATGGGATGCATATGTGATATCCCCCAAAAGCTCATGTGTGAGACAATACAAGAATTAGTGAATCCATTCACTAACATGGATTAACTAAGTGTTAAATGTAGGGAAGTAGAGTGTGGATGAAAAAAATAGGTCACTGGGGATATACCTTTGGGGTTTGTATTTTGTCTTCCATGAGTGGAGCTCTCCATGCTTCCTGTTGTCATGTCCTTAGCTGCAGTCCTCTGCCATGCCCTTCTGCCATGCCCTTCTGCCATGCCCTTCTGCCATGATGTTCTGTCTCACTTTGCGCCCAAAGTTATGTAATCAGTCATTTATGGACAGAGACCTCTGAAACTGTATGCCAAACTAAACTTTTCCTCCTTTTAATTGTTCCTGTCAGGTCTTTTGGTCATAGTAACAAAAAAGCTGACTAAACACCTGGTGATGATTTAAAAAATATTTTTCTATATGGATTAAATGGTGAAATATAAAAGGCAAAACCATACAAACTTTAGAAGTAGTTTTAAAACATAGCTCCAAAATTCTTTGACATTCTTCCTATTGATCTCTTTCACATTGACCAATAGACTATAGTGGAAATGACACTGTGCCAATTTCTGGGCCCAAGCACAGTATCCTGTAGACAAAAACCAATAGTTGAAACCAATGTGTCACTATGTGAAGAAAGTGTGTCCTTCTGTCCCATCAATCCATTCCAGCTGACACTGTATACAACAGAGA